TCTCCATTGGTGTTGGACCAGAAGACGCCAAAAGGCGTACAACTCAAAAACAGCGCACTATCAGAGTATTGAGGGCTCGGGGTGAGCATTAACATTATGAGACCTCCTTTGCCAGAAACAAGATATAGAAATAGGTTTTACCCTTTTAACTGGCACAAAAAACTGACACCTTTATTCGAGGCATCATGTTTGCAATGACCACAACACAAGCAGTCAAAATGCAAACAAAAAAGACAACTCTGATAATAATATGCACTGTCCTTGAATTTGATTGGTCCACACCCGAGACATGATGCCTTGAATAAAGGTGTCAGTTTTTTGTGCCAGTTAAAAGGGTAAAACCTATTTCTATATCTTGTTTCTGGCAAAGGAGGTCTCATAATGTTAATGCTCACCCCGAGCCCTCAATACTCTGATAGTGCACTGTTTTTGAGTTGTACGCCTTTTGGCGTCTTCTGGTCCAACACCAATGGAGACTAGGCTCTAAGCAAAGCTGTCTCGGGTGTGGACCAATCAAATTCAAGGACAGTGCATATTATTATCAGAGTTGTCTTTTTTGTTTGCATTTTGACTGCTTGTGTTGTGGTCATTGCAAACATGATGCCTTGAATAAAGGTGTCAGTTTTTTTGTGCCAATAAAAAGGGTAAAACCTATTTCTATATCTTTCGTTAAAGTCACGTAGAAGAACCAAGAATATGAATCCCCGCAGTCACGAAAGCTTTAAATCAAAAATGGTCACTGTTGTTTGTAAGAGAAGCGATTGAAACTTTTGAGAATGAGGCAAACCGCAAGGTAACATTGTCACACTGCTGGGAGACGATTCCGTATTAACAACGCACTGCCATATGATGATGCACAAGGCAAACAATGCTCTTAACTTGATTGGGCGCTTCCGTAACTGCAGGAATTACTCTTTGATTTTTCGGTAAAGTCACGTAGAAATAATAAAAATAAAATAAAATTATAGCATACGACGTTTCGATCGCAACACAAGCAATCATCATCAGGCAAGAGGAAACACATAACCGCAGATATATATACAGACCTTAAGTAGGGAGAATTAACACCGATATACCAGGGGATACAGAGAGACGGAACATCACACTAAATCAAACACGGTTTAGCAAAATTTGGAAACTATATAAAGCAACACAAACGGTCGGTTAAAACACAATTAACGCATGGTTTGGTTGAATACGCTGTTTCAAAGATTGTTAAATTTCACACTTAACTTACAATTTAACAATCTTTGAAACAGCGTATTCAACCAAACCATGCGTTGTGTTTTAACCGACCGTTTGTGTTGCTTTATATAGTTTCCAAATTTTGCTAAACCCTGTTTGATTTAGTGTGATGTTCCGTCTCTCTGTGTCCCCTGGTATATCTGTGTTAATTCCCCCTACTTAAGGTCTGTATATATATCTGCGGTTATGTGTGTTCCTCTGCCTGATGATGATTGCTTGTGTTGCGATCGAAACGTCGTATGCTATTATATAATTTTATTTTATTTTTATTATTTCTACGTAACTTTACCGAAAAAACCAAAGAGTAATGCTCTTAACGTTTGAATAATGGGCCTTGCGTTACACGTCGTCGGTGAGTGTGAGTCAGTTCGCTTATTTCAGATGAGACCCATCGAGGTAAAGAGCCAAAACAGCCGGATTGTGGAAGGGATTGCTGCGTGCCAATCGCAACTCCGATTAGCACGGTTGGCTACGTACGGCGCAAAAGAAGTTCAACATGCATACACACATATCGCCGTGGCGCTTGTGCCAGGCTAGGTGCACTTTGAAGCCACGTAGAATGGGGAAGGCTTGCCGATAGTAGGTCATGTGACAGACACGGGTGTTAACGGTTGACATACTTGGGATGACTGCCACGTGTACGTATGTATTCAAAATGTTATTTTATTTTATCCGGGAAAGTCTCAAAAGATCTCCAGACTTTTCATGAGAGTCCTGCATTGGGACGTTTCAACATACATAGTGGTAGCATGGGGGGGGGGGGGGGGGGGGGGGGTTAATCACTGTATTCTCTGACGGCAATGGGACACGTATGTATGTTGAACTTCTTTTGCACCGTACGTAGCCAACCGTGCTGAGCGGAGGTGCAAGGGTGCAGGACAACAAACCAAACACACAGAAGCAGTCCCAAAGGAACGAGTTCTCAATCGAGACGATTTAAAAATGCATAGCTCCAGTACCTTCCTAATAGACTCAACGTATCGGTCTCGCGCCAATGTATAGTATTGGTGCCGTGTATGTTACTTCGGGGCCGTCCATAAATGACGTCACGCGATTTTGGACGATTTTTGACCTCCCCCCCCCTCGTCACACGGCGTCACAAAAAGTCAGACCCCCCTCAAATATGACGTCACAAAGCTCTGCCCCCCCCCCCCATTTTTGTTTTAAACCTGCTTCAAATCGCTTTAAACTATTGTCATTGTAGTGCGTATTTAATGTGCCGCTGCACTCTGATGGTGTAGGAGAAAGCATTTCTTTAAAAAGTCTATTTAATTAAGTAGAACATGTTGCCTATATTTATTAAAAGTTGCGCATTGTGATGTGACGTCACATTTCTCAAACAGCCCCCCCCCCCTCGTCACAAATGTTTGACCCCCCCCCACCCCCCACATTTATGGACGGCCCCTTTAAGACTCCTCGCTCATTTACATTCATGGCCCTTTCCCCCTGCAGCCGGTGACGGAGAAGGGCGTTGTCTACAAGGAGCATACCTACCACCGCGAATGCCTCGTGTGCATCGGCTGCAACACGCCTCTGGCCGGGATGAACATGTGCACGCGTGGCGAGCTGCTCTACTGCGAGCCCTGCTTCGAGAAGAAGTACTCAAAGAAGTGCACCAGCTGCAGGAAGCCCATCAGTAAGACCCCGCGCGCGCACGCGTGTGGGGGGGGAAAACAAAAAAAACACGTGGCCTTAGAATTTTTCTTCCTTTTGGATTTGAAGCTTTTCGTGACTGCAGGAATCCACACTCTTTTGGCTCTTTCGGTAAAGTCATCGCGTAGGTAGAAAATAAAATAAATCGCGACGTTTCGATCGCAACGCAGGCGGGCTCGTCATCAGGCGAGGCAATCACGGCAGGGAAACCGCTGAAGCTCACCTGATGAAGGTCGTTTGTGTTGCGATCGAAACGTCGTGATCTATTTTTTTTCTCTACCTACATGATGACTTTACCGAAAGAACCAAAGAGTATTTTCTTCCGTTATTTTATTAATATTTAGCGACTCGCGCACCATTTTCTCCACGTTGTACTCCGATCGTTTTTGCTGTTGTATCGTTCGCTATTGTACCTTGCTGACCCACCCCATATTGGACATGTGGGAAAAAGAGCTTCATAGCTCCACGGATTCCTCCATTCTAAATAAAGATTCCCATTCTGATATGTACGCGTGACCATTTGGGGGCACCATTGATCCAGATCGCTCTCAAGTCTCACACATTCAGTGCGAGATTCGCACATTTGGCTGATGTCAGAAATCGATGCATTTTAGAGCGGAGGAAGCGTACAACGTTGGGTCTCTCCTTCACGCTTCACCACTTCATGTGGGTCTCGTGCCGCCACTAATCAATCTCACGGCCACCGTCATGTTCCAACCAGGCAGGCGTGGTACTCACTGCAAAGGGCCCGATGTGGCACACGGGGCCAGATCAATGAGGAAGTTTCTAAGAAGAAAACATCAAAGACGCACAGTCGCACAGCAGCCAGAAGTGGGGTCCCGTCAGTCGTCACGATTTAAACGGATTAAAGGGAGAACAGAACATGCATTAAGCTGCTGCCAGTCCACCACAGCCAGAAATAAAGGTCGAAATTATTGTCTAATTCCGGAGTAAGATGTTCTTGTAACTATATACTTCATATATGGAAAACCTGATAAAAGCGTAAGCCCTACAAGACTGGATATCAGAAAAAAAAAGGCTTGCTAGCCATTGATCGAAAGCCACGTAGATAGAACAATAATAAAAATAAGAACAATCACGTTTACATCGCAACACAAGCAATCGTCATCAGGTGAAAAATATAGCGGGAGCGCTGTTAAGGCAGGGAGTTGCGATTGTGATCCCCAAAACCCAATGCATCTCCTTCCCTTCTGCCTTCCACAGCTGCGGGAGCGAAATTTTTGACGCACGACTCCCTCGAGTGGCACACCGAGTGTTTCAAGTGCAAGCGCTGTGGCCTGAACATGGCCGGAAAGGGCTTCGTGGCGCGCGGAGACGACATCTTCTGCGGCGACTGCGCCAAGTGATATGGAGACGAGCAGCCATTCGCAACAAACACTTGCAAAGCATGCAAAGCATTGTTGCCGTCTCACCGCAGCACATGTGGAATGCGACATGCGCCGTATTTGTGTCGGGGAATGCTATTTGAAATGCTGTTTGTAAGGTTTAATTTTACGTAAAGTATGAACGTGCAGCTGTGCAATCACAATTTCACGTTGAATTCATTTGCATGTTTTCAAGATGTGTACTGATGTTGATATTCTCAGTAAATCTTTTACCAACGACACTACTTTAATTTGATGAAACCAAAGCCATATTTGAAGTTTATATTGTTTAATCAGGTGACAACTCAGAGAGACCAGGATGAGTCATTTGCAAAAGTGGTCTGGGTCGCTAAATTGACAAAAGCAAAATAAATAAAGTTACAGCAATGAAGCAAAAATATAATCTGTTGGTTTCTGAAAAAGAATGATCCCAATAACTCTACTACATTAATGATGCATCAGTCCATTACTTGACATTGTATTGGCTAAAACGAGTGTTTTACAGCCGGTATATTATTTTCATTCTAAGCAGATATGAAGCAGCTAGTTATGGGATTTGCCTAACATGCAATAATATGCATATTGATTTGGAATGACATGAAAGAGATTTCAAAAATGTATATAGTACAAATATACATTTTTACTGCATGTCTGTGTGCCACACTTTCAATAAAGTCTGAAACTGGAAAAAACAAAAAGGCCTTATTTCACAAATACTTATATTATACAGTAATTTATTACCTGTTTTACACATTGTAATTAGTTCACAACATAATCTGACATATGCACTGAAGCTCATGACTAGAATAAAACGTGAACAATGACTTGAGTCCTACGCACATCATTATTCAAAAAGTAAAGAAGCAACGTTTACCATAGAATAACCAAGTACAGCTACAACAAATAATGCATTTAGCTGAAGACCCTCCTTAAATAATTTTCCCAAGCTTTACAATCGTTTTCATTAAATGTCAACTTTTTTAAGCTGATCACTGACATTTTTAACACATCACAGCATGAGCAGTTATATTTGTTATCTTTGCGAAACACTCAGCGCACAAAACTCAGCTGGGCCGTAGCCTCCGCTGAATAAAAAAAAACGCACAATCACAACCAGCAGCATTAAGCAGAAGACATCAGGGGCCACATCCTGAATGGAAAGCATTATTTTCAAAATGCTTGACTGTATTCAATTAATGACCGTAAAAACTTACAGTTTCATACAATTACAATTCCATTTTCTTACGTAGCTATGCCAATTCAACGTAAAACATTTTTCAGCATCAACAGTCCAGAATCTCGCGCCAGATGTAGAATATTCTGTGAAGGACAAAGACCCCCTGTATAGCCATAACAGACTGTTGGGGTATGCGCTGTTAGTGAGCAACTATGAATGCTGGCACAGCAGACAAGCGGGCGGGTGGCCAGCACCACGCCCAGCCGCCTATGTCTTCCCAGTAGCGGTGCTTACACACACCAGGTAGTAATTTCAGGCTGAATCTACCTAGGGGAGGCTCAGGACCGGTTCCGATAATCGTCCCTGCGGGTCGTGACCAGGAATCGATCTCGGGTTACTGAGTGCATAGTTCAGCGTGCGAACCACTACACTACCACTCCCCATATATATGCACACACACACATATATCATTGTTGAAATATTCTTCAGCAGTGCTCAGCAATATACACACGGGATATATAGCACGTGTTGTTTGACATTTCAAGACATGTGGGCTCAGCTGCAGCATAACACAATCTGGCATATCAGCTCCATAGTAAGCACACGCGCGAGTCCATGGAAATGATTTAACGGTGCAAGTAGTAAACTCGATACATGCTCCAATTGCTGATTTAGTCCCAGGATAACATTGCGATAGTGGTATCTCATGCCAGGCCTAAATCCACTCGCAGGGGAAACTAATCTCAAAATTAATTTCTTTGGTAGATACATCATTGGACGATATGGTTAGTGGTTAATACATTAACTTTCACTTTGGAATATTAATGGTAAAGCACGTCCATGCTACCCTCATCGGAGTGATGCTGCACTCATATAACAGCAGTAATTCTGCACGTGATTAGCTCATGATTATGGGTAGCACTGATAACAGTGATCGCTATCACGTGAGCACCTCATGACTGCTTAAAGCTTGCAGGTAACACATGGAACTACTACTGTACTAACTACGGATCAAATGTGTCTGATGAAGGGGTCGTGAAATGGTTATTGCAGGTGGCTACAAAACCCCCTACGAAGCCGGATGGCTGAGAGGATTAATGCCACATGTCACAGCACTGAGCTAGCACTGCTGGGATCCTGGATTTAAATCAACGCAACCACGTGACAAAACTGGGTTGTCATAGGTAGTGTTCGTCTTAATTCCACTCGCAAATGACTACACAAAAACTAGCACGTTACACTTTGTTGCCACCCAATTCGTTATGTGCTAGATTTTGGAACTGAAAAAATTATCAAATAGACTGTTACGTGACGTATATTTGCAGTGTGAGAAAATGTAGTGCCCTTCGTGTGGGCAAGAGGCAACTGAAAGTATCTCATAAGTAGTTGATATAATCTTCAGGCCATTCTCCAAAATGGGATGACGTAAATGTATTTCTTCAAAAGGGTATCCAAACAGAAATGTATTCATCTCATGACATGTCATTAAGCAAAATTTGAACAATTTCGAACAAAAAACCTGACAGCTCCCCTTGTCTTGATTTATAGAAAGGAAAGCTGCCTTTTCTTGAATTCTGTGGAAGTCTTGATCTGTGGAGCTATATAGATATACTATATAATTTGTGCTTATCTTAGTGGTATTCCATGTTCCATTCCAAGCCTCAGAATAAACCATCATAATACATTTTACTGTTTAAATGGCAGTAGTGACCAACATAAAATGTGGCCATCGTCGATAACACTGAGTATAATACCCTTAAGGAATGAAAACCTTACATTTGTAACAGCCATTTACTGTAATAAAAACTAAACATTTGAAAAATAAAAACAAAATGCTCCACGCAGATGAAAAATAAGATACAAGGTCAAAATAATAGTACTCTTAGATCATGCCCGCTAATTTAATCTAAACTTATCAACAAAATATCAACACATTACAAATTAGCAGCATAGTGGTTGAAATTTAAGTGGCATGGAACGTTAAACAGGTTATGTGCTTGTCAAAATTCCGATTCATATTCTTGGTTCTTTCGGTAAAGTCACGTAGAAGGGAAATAAAAAATAAAACAATTAAATTCTCAAGACATTTCGATTGCAACACAAACAATCATCATCAGGTCATCAGATGACGATTGCTTGTGTTGCAATCGAAACGTCGTGAGAATGTTAGTTGTTTTTTTTTTATTTCCCTTCTACATGACTTTACCGAAAGAACCAAGAATATGAATCCCTGCAGTCACGAAAGCTCTAAATCGAAAAATTCCCATTGTACAAATTGCACATAGCTGTGCCTAAGCACAATGTTTAAAAGTGCTTAAACAAATAATTGTCACCTGCTCTCGCAACAAATAGGAATCTTCCTACAATGCCAACTTCCTAAATTGTAATCAGGGCTCTCGTTTGTTCGTTGTTGCGATGTGTAAAACATGAAAACCAAGACAATTCAAGGATATGTGTAAACCCAGATAAAAAAAATATTATGTATGGAGAACTTAAAAATTATTACAAATAACAATAACTTTTGGGGCAAAGTATAAAAACAATGTTGCATTGCTGGCATTTTAATAAAAAATATAGTGAATCCACTTTCCGAGTGAGTAGCCAAAACAATTTACATACTGCTCACTTGCAAATTCCTCTAGACACAAGTACACTATATTTTGCATGTCATCTCTAACAGCCATAAAGGGACATAACAAAGAAGTGGCATGTAAAATGTGGTTTAAATTTGAGAATCCTGGACTGGAGAACATTCCCTGAGCCAAACGCTGCCACCCTGAATACATGTCAATGCTGCCCCTTATATCAAAACCAACGCAGATCACAATGTCACAAAACACTACTTCACAGTAATTCCCATCAGCCGTCGAAAGTTACCCATCCTTTAGGTAATGTCGATGGCTTGGGGTTAGAAGTTACGGTCAACTGGTCCCTAGCAGCTATGCTGGGGGGTGCAACTTCCCGGTTGACATTCCAGATGGCCTCTGTGGAGATGGACGATGACAGTGGCTGCATAGATGATAACGAGGATGAAGGAGGTAACGACGAAATTGACGCCACAAATGGATTTAACAAAGGAGTCGAATGGGCAGTCCGGAAAGCGGGTGTGGGTAGGGACGTCGATGACGATAATGTCGCAGTGACTGAACATGCTTCTTCCGGTACTACAAAGGGGTTGGGAGACATTCTGCAAGTGGCTACAATACGTGGAGGAATAGGTGGGGCCTGTAAACGAGGACATGTCATTTGACTCTCCTTCAAACCATTTAAGTTATTTGCAGCCACACCACTCCTAATTTCTGGGCAACTGTTGAAGACAACTGGTAGCTCTGCAGGAACTGGTGGACGAATTCTGGACGCCAAATTGTTAGCCACAATTGGTTTATTTGCAAAAGGAGGGTTGCTGAGGAAGTCCAGTGGCTGGCAGGGAGATTCTGTACGGGTTGGTGGTACAGGATGGCAATTACTTAGAACTGAACCGTTGTCAACAGTGACTGGCAGGGTGGCAGAAAGTGGGCCTAACATAGAAGGCTTTATGAAAGGATTGGTTGCGGCAACTTGGCGGCTGGCTGGAACAGGAGGGAGGACATTCGAGTTGAACGGCTGCTCAGCAGAGATGGGAGAAGGCCTGGCATGGAGGGTTCGTTGTCGTTGAGGTGGGATTGGAACCTGACGGTTGGGATCACCTGACTCTTCACCAATGTTGAACACCACGAGGGAGGGTGTTAGCACATTGGCACTGCTTGATCGCTGTCAAGACACACAGACAGAAAAAAAAGTCGTTTTGATATCTGTATTGACTGATCTAATTAGCCATAAAAGCGAGACAAAACTGATGCTCTCTGCTTTGGCACCAGGGATGTGTAACTCAGTCTTAAAAATCTGAATAGTTTTAATTGCATATAGAAACACTGAAAGGTACCTGTGTTACTCTGGAGGCTTGTTGAGTGAGAGAAAGGTATAGGCAAAAATATGTTAGGAGAGAGTGCAGATAATTTCACAATAAACTATTTATTATATTTTATATAGGAACTAAACTGACTGATGTTTTTAACCACTTTGCAGGACAATGAGAACTCAATACAAACACAACACAACCTGCATAAATATATTCAGTGTCATTGCCCGGAAAGTCTACATAGGTGATCAAGCAAGCTCTCAAAAACCAACGCAGGATCCGTTCACCTTAAGCCAAACATTAACATCACTATCCTCCACACTTACCTTCAGAGGGACAGGGGGTTCAGCATGTGGAATGGACTGCGTAGACCTGGTTCTCGGTGGAGCCTGAGGGGCGGAGGTAGCCATGGCCTGCAAGAGGCCTTGAGTGGAAGGGGATGGAGGCTGTGTGCCTAAGAACTGAGCCTGTGTGGAAGGAGAGGGCACCATGGGCTCCTGCATAGGAGACGAAGCAGCTGGTGAAGGCAGCATGGCCTCAGGCAATGGGGAAGGGGCAGACTGAGTTGGTAGCATGGGTATGAGCAGCTGCTGTATTTGGTTAGAATGTGCTAATTGCGGCAGCATGGGTTCAGGTAGTGAGGGAGAAGGCTGCGATAGGTTTTGTGGAGAGGTGGCAGCAGCAGAGGGCAGCAGTGGCTCGGGTAGGTTGACAGGAGCTCTCGATTTTGCGATCTCCGGGCTTGAAGAGGCAACAGCTATATAAACAAACAAAAAGAAGAGTAAATTAAACTAGATTTGAAGCTTTCGTGACTGCAGGAATTACTCTTTGATTCTTTCGGTAAAGTCACGTAAAAAGAAAATAAATTAAATAATAGAATACGACGTTTCGATTGCAACACAAGCAACCGTCATCAGGTAGAACTAAATTTGAGAGAGAGACAAAACACAGACACGGAGACACACAGACAAACACACAAGCAGAGAGAGACAACACATAGACACACAGAGGGAGACATACAACATAGACACACAGAGACCCAATGCCTCTGTGTCGAGGCCTTAAATAGAGAGAGGGGGGGGGGGGGGGGGTATAGAGAGAGGTGGGTCTGCTGGAGCAGCTGTTGGAGCAGAGAAATTAGCATGTCACTGAAAGACTCAACAAGATTGGTACATTTTAGAGATGTCTTTTCAGAGAAAATTTACCAAGCTCTCATAGGTCTATTCGCTCTCTCTCTCCCTCGGTCGCTTTGGGGTGGATTTCCACACAACTCTCTCTAAAATGTACCAGTCTGGTTGAGTCTTTCAGTGACATGTTAATTTCTCTGCTCCAGCAGACCCACCTCTCTCCTACCCCAACCCCCCCCCCCCTCTCTCTCTATTTAAGGCCTCGACACAGAGGCATTGGGTCTCTGTGTGTCTATGTTGTATGTCTCTCTCTGTGTCTCTGTGTTGTCTCTCTCTGCTTGTGTGTCTGCCTGTGTGTCTCCGTGTCTGTGTTTTGTCTCTCTCTCAAATTAAGTTCTACCTGATGACCGTTGCTTGTGTTGCAATAACGTCGTATTCTATTATTTAATTTATTTTCTTTCTACGTGACTTTACCGAAAGAACCAAAGAGTATTAGTCAATTATTTTGTACAATATTCACTTATATCCATTATATTAATTTTCTGGATATGTGAAACTAACTATTTTGAGTATTTGAGCAGAGACTGGCATGCACAAACTTTACCTGCACTTCTGTGTTGTGGAGGGGTTGCTGGAAGTGGGGGGGGTGGGCGACTTGGAACACGAGGCAAGTCCTTGTAAACAAGAATTATACAATGTCATTACTGAATATACAGGGTGTTTTAAAAAGATTGACCCAATTTCAAAGCAGTATATTTCACGATGGCAACATGTTACAATTACCCAAAAAATTGCAAACGGTTTAATGAGTTATCAAGTTTTACTAACCATTTTATAAATGCTCTATGCGCCCTCCACCTGCTGTACGGACAACATCGAGACGATAGTTGATTTCGTCCCAAACGCCTCTCTTCTCACGTTTCCCTCTGAGGTGCGTGGTCGCCCTGTGCTCTTCCCCTTACATCAACAGCAGCCCGTTTCCTCAAATTGTCGGTACCAACGACGAATGCTCTTTGACATTGGCGGATCAATGCCAAAACGGCGTTGAAATGCACGCTGCACCGCAATTACGGATTCTGTCTTACTGAACCGCACAACGCAAAACGCCCCTTGTGTTGTAGGGTCACCATCTTGCGAATGACTGAGGCTCGGGGCTGTTTGTGCGCTGGGAGAGGCATCTAGCGGTAATCATTTGAAACTCTATGCCCCGCCCTCTCTATGCCCTGCCCTCGCTATGCCCCGCCCTCTCTATGCCCCCCCCCTTTCAAGTGGTAAGAGTTGCATTCATGGGCGGTTCGTGGTTGCAGAGAGATAGCAATTTCAAATCGGGTCCATCTTTTTGAAACACCCTGTATACCATTGGGGTGTTTGTTTACATTCCTCTTGAACACAGCATGACAGGCAAGTGGGAACAAAATATAACATTTTAAACTCACTTGAGAGCGAGGAGCAGAAGCAGATGTGGGCTGTAGAATGGTTGAGCCAGGACCAGGTTGGCTCTTGACTACACACACCCAACAACCAAACAGGTACAATGGCTCAATTGTTCCCCATACTATGTTGCTCCTTCTTATAAAAATGTCAAGGTCAACTTTTGGTGTATGTAAAAAACATTACACCTTATTAGTATTGAGAATATTATTGTAATTGAGAATCACCGCGTTTGCGTAGTGTGGTGTGTCTCACCACTGGGGGGTGGAGGTCTCTGTGGAGGTGGAGGTTTGGCAGGAGGGCCAGCTGGCTTGCTCAGGGATTCACTTGTCTGTTTCCCAAAGCTCTGCCAATCTCGGCCCTCACCTGGTACAATAACATAGATGCGGCACACGCCTCTAAGTTACTCTCTCTTATCATAGGATAACAAGTAACAGCCAAACACAAGCTTCTGTAGGTGTCTTTGAAAACCATTTCATAATACTTACATCTCTAGCAGATGGAGATTTGAAAGGTGGATTTTAATTTTGGAAAATTATTTTGGCAATTAGAAAGCACGAAGTGGCGGACACTTACCGTGAGTCGGCGACGGGCAAGGGGAGGGTTTTGGAGATGGACGGGGAGAGACACTTGGGTCAATGGCCATGCCTGATGTCAGCTGATCCTGCGTCCCACCTTCCTCTGCGTCTGCCATTTCATCCTGTTCATCTGAACACCACACGTGAATGATGAAAACAAACCTTCATGTTTTTCACCTTGGACTCGCGATTTATCATTGAGCCCTCAGCACTCGCAACAGAATATATAAATAGCATATACGTAACAAGTGGCTTAGTGGTGGCCAGTGGATTCACTGCGCAATGAACCTGTCGCTCTGAGTTCAATTTCCGGTTGTCTAAAATAAGTGGCAACTGATATGTAAACTGGTCATCGTACTACCCTCCCATCCACATTCATCAACACTTGCACTGACCAGCATGCTGAAGTTTGGTTAAACAACCCCCATGACTGACGTGGCATGCTGAGCCTGGATTGTCAAGGGGTTGTATTTGTTTGTTTCCCCCCCTGCCACATTTCAATATATGTATTCAAGAGGGGTATATTCTGCAGATAATTGAACCTAATGGCGGTACCCCGGGGTACCATAGTACCCCGGCTCTTGCATAATGTCCGAGATGCAGTCATTTTTAGTCTGTTGATGGTCGGCGATGCGGCAATCGACTCATCTGCACTATGGTGCATACGAGCGTTCAGGGTTTCAGCGCAATCGCCCTCGCTGCGTTTCAACATCGTGGAGTAGCACTGATTTCGGATTGATTGGTACCCCAGTGGCAGAGTGAAGTACACCCCTGGGAAAAAATAGTGTCCCAGAAATAAAATATTTAATTGCCTCGGCCATTTTGTATTATTTGGTAACCCGGGGTAACGCCATAAGGATCAATGGGTAATACAAGCATTGAGCAAAAACCAGATGAGAGCGTGGATATCTGCTATTTCTGCTGGAAACATTGACTTAGCTTCGCACAAATGCGTAAAGCCAGTGCTGCAATTACGTCCTTTGCACATCCACGCACACACACACCCTCGATTGCATAGTATGCCGGGGGCAAAGAGGCGTCATCCTCCAGCAGGCTGGAGTTGTGCGTGAGCATGGCGCCTGTGGCCTGCATGTCACCGGCGCTCTGCACCAGCTCCTCCTCCAGCATGCTGCTCCACTCTGGGCTCTTCAGCCTCACGTGCAGGATGTGGCGCAGAACCTGGTTCCGCAAAGTAATGCACACCACGTAGCAGGACATGCCCAAAGTCAACTTCCACAAGGCAGCCGTTATTCAAAACGCTATACGAATCCAATTATGAAATCTATTCAGACAAGAACTGCCACAATATTTAGTAGACAAAATACCTCTCGAAGTTGGAATATATATGAAAAAATGAGTTAAAACTCTCACCTGTATGCCATTGATGCAGAGAATTTCTAAAGCGGATCGACTGTCTCGGAAAGTAACCACCATGTCATTACCTGCAAATCTATGCATGCACGCACACACACGTGCATGGGCAGATACAAGTGATCACAGTTATTGATCAGCATTGTGGACAAATTACATAAACATGTACTGAAGACAACTGGGGTATTGTACAAGAATAGTTGTGCAAGGTGAGTGGCACAAACCGGACAAGTGTGACATCCCCATAGCCCGCCAAGATCCTCAGAAGCTGCTCAATGCAAGCGTCATCAAACTCCTCGCCAGAGTCGAGGGACAGCACTGCACTTGCATCCGGTGGTCCATGGGCAGCAATTGCTGCCCTCAACACCCCCTGCATGGAGCCTGGGCTCACCTCCAATAAATCCACGTCAATCAGAGCGATCACGGGCCTAGGAAGGTAACATATCACTCGTCAATCTCCAAGTCAGGAAAATTAACGGCTCAATCATTTCAACTGCAAACAGCCCACTATTGTGTTTCTAATGTAAAACATTTCTCCAATTATATCCTGATTGTGCAATCGGCATCATATCATGCGACACAGTATCCATTTGAGTCAAAGCAGTGCAACCTTTTGTGATAGCGAATGGGCCATGGAAGCAAACATCACAGGGCTATCTCACTGAGATCTCTTCAAGTGACCTCTGGTCCACACAGTAGGGACAGCACTTTCCCACCTGCTCTGCCACTGACAGTCATTTTCGTTGCATGCCAATCAAACCGATAATTTAAATTCAGAGCTGGAATTGATCCAAATTAAGATGCAAACGTAATTATGGTTGTTTAGCACTAATTGCTGACTAGAACGAGATCAACAACTTGCATCCATCACAGGTTTTTGAAGCCTGGATTTGAATCCAACATTTCAGTGGTGGCAGCAAAGCGCTCCTACCTCTGAACTACTCTGCCTACTCTAAGCCCACTACTGTGATTTACAATGTAAAATAACCTTTAGATTACATATGTATGCACAGCACCTGTGATCGGATGTCTTGAGCTCAGCGCGGCTGTAGTGGATTAGTGTTCCGGGGTTCCACAAGTGAGGCAGTCGAGGCTCCACTCCGGCAGGTAGATTTACTAAGTCTAGCTCGTCAGCTGCTCCAAGGGTGTTTACATTGCAAAAGAGAAATGGATTCAGTTTTGGGTTCAATAGCACTCATTACAACTTTGATTTCATCAAACATGACAGAGGCAAATTCGGGTATAAAAAAGGGGATTTTCACAACAGGACACCCCTTCTTGATTCGATCAATGCTCATATTACGTGCGGATCCTTTTAGAAGAATCATACAGGATGGAGAGGCAACTGGGAGAAATGCATTGGGTCTTAGTTGGCATGAGAATCATGAATATTAAAGGGGACAATTCAAACCACTGTAAGATAATTAAAATGCTATCCCCAACAACAAAACATAATGATAAAAAAGGTCATATAAAAGTGTAAAACGTATTATAAAAGGCAGCATAGAAGCAAGCAACACAAGCCGTAAGCGCACCACTCTTCTCGAAGGCCCACTTGTGGCGATACCACAGCACACGGTCCGTCCAGGCCGGGATGCGGCACTTCTCGCTTGTGTCGTAGTCGTCAGAAAAAATGTCGTACTTGTATGTGGGCGGAAAGTTTGTTCGGCCTTCGTGAAACCCACGGAATACCTGGATACAAAATATATTTAGAAAATACAAAAGTCGTAAAGTACGCATGTATAAACGAGTAAATCTTATTTGTTAAAATATATATATTTCCATAACTGTTTGCACCTTTGAATTTTTTTTGGAGGCGAATCATCTGTGCCAAGCAGACACTTAACCATGTATTGATTTGTCAATTAAAATCAATAATTATGTTCATAGCACATCACTCATAATCCATGTAATTGATTCCTAGTGATGAATACAACTTATTTGTAAATTATATGCTAATTTCGCACTTAGGTCAATTGAACAGACAAAACTGCACGCATTATTTACCAGTAACAGTACAAACAAGCAGGTAGAAATGAGACGAAAAAAAATCGATTCTGAAATTGAATTCACAGGATATAGCGCGGCTCACCGCGCCCAAGTTGCGCTGCTGCACCAGCTGGTCAGCCTGCTGCAAGGTCTCCCAGTTCTTCTGTCGCACGAGTTCCTTCACCTCGTCCCCAGACAGGTCGATCCGGTAGTTAAAATCTCCACACCAGAAGACGTAGTCATGGGAAAACAATCCGCGACCCTGCAGCACAAACCAGTATCACCTCATTACACCCCTAAAACAAAATCATCGTTTCCCCGAGACCATACGAATGATAGGCATATGATACAAATTACAGCATGAAAATAATTCAATACAATATTTTCTAACATTTTCAATACATCCATCGAATCATGCGTTTGAGAATCAATACATTTTTCACTTGTATACATTGCATGTAAAGAGATCATGCAAACCCTGCACCCACGAGTGGCGCTACATTTACAACACAAAATAGACCGACTCTTTAATTGATTCATGACCTCCCGAATGGCAACCGATCAAATCACAACAGGGGCAAACAGTTACACGGCGAATGAATAACACATTTAAAGCTTTCATAATGATTGGCAAGACACAAGATTGGGGGACGTCACCATTGGGAAGGAAAGTTTGCGAGCGATCTCCGCATAGTCTTCGTTACGCTCGCGTGTGTGCGACTGTCCGGCGGCGAAATGTGAGCACACGAAGCAAAGGCTGCTGCTGTACATCTGGAGGCGGATGGCTACACCACCCTTGTTCCCAGTTGCACCCCCCATGCCTGTCTTCACCGTGTCCACAGCCACATCCCTGCAAGAAGAAAACACAACAGCTTGTGACAACATGTCTGGACATAAAAGCAGAGGTTTACTGACATAAATGCTACAGTTCAAGCATCCCTGTAAACTGTTGAATAGTTGGTCAAAGAAACACATATTTTTCATGTTATAAAAAAGTTAAATACATAAAGGCAGTTTTCATGTGGAATGCGCTTGATCTCAGATGCTAAGCAGCATTGAGCCTAGACAGTGTGTGTATGGGCAATCACCATGTATTATTAGCTGCAGAGCTACATGATAGGTGGCAGAGGGCAGTTCAACAACATCAAATGTTGTAATGTACTTCTATGCTCGATAACTTCAGCAACCCACATTAACCAGCATGATGAAATATGGTTTAATTACCCCAAAACCCTGCAGGGAGAGGGAAGGTCATCATCCAGCAGTGGCTTGACAAAAGGAGGATTGTGCATGTACAAGCCTGTAATCTGCATAGGGTGCAGCATACCGGACGTGAGGCGCATGGTGAGGGCGCAGGAAGACGAAGAGGCAAACCCCAACCAGCTGCTCGGAGGTCAGCAGGATGTACTTGTGATCACGTGAGATTGTCTTCTGCAGCTCTACTGACCAACGCTTCTGATTTTCTGTACTGCAAGTGACACGTTTTGTTCAAGAAAATTACATTCTACATTCATTTCTGCAGATACTTCTCAATGTATCTTGAGACTTTCCCAGAAGGCACAAAAATTGGGATAACGCAAAAGAACGCTCAAATATTCTTGGTTCTTTCGGTAAAGTTACGTAGAAGGGAAATAATAAAATAATAACAATATAAAACAACAAAATTCTCACGACGTTTCAACTGCAACACAAGCAATTATCATCAGTTGTGAAAACCACAGCAATTTTCTTGCTTTTCACACCTGATGATGATTGCTTGTGTTGCAGTCGAAACTTCGTGAGAATTTTATTGTTTAATATTTTTATTCTTTTATTGTTTCCCTTCTACGTGACTTTACCGAAAGAACCAAGAATATGAATCCCTGCAGTCACGAAAGCTTTAAATAAAAATTTAACGCTCAAATAATTAATAATTAACATGACCTTACAAGGGAAAAATATATGGTGAGCTGATGTTTCTGCCAATGATACAGAGAGATGGCAGGGAGATTGAGTGACATCGTCAGAGATGACATTTAGCACTGTGTAGCGCTGAAACAAACTGTGAAATTAAGGAAGTTTACATATAGACGAGTAGTTTGCTTATAATTATGTTTAAAATGTAAGTAAAATGGTTACATTTGAATATAGATTTGCATCATGAGGAATGGAGCTATCAGTGAATTCCCCGTTCTTATTTGGAATCAGCTGTCTATAGACCAACATCTAATTTTACTGCCTATACATCATCTAAATAGACGTAAATGCGGAAATTAGTCTGCTAGGCATTGCAGAGGCTAACCATTTTGAAAGGGCTTGTCTAATATTCAACACCCAATCTGTGTGTGAATTAGGTAAGGATGAACAGTGTGCCGTTTAATTAAGAAAAAATGAGTTGTTACGTACTATCCATAATACAGGTTTTTTGGGTTAGATCGTGTAAATATGAGTGGGTCGTAAAACCCAAATGCTCTCCAACACCGGCGTGCTGTACTAGTAACGAATTGCCATGCTATGTTTAAGTGACAAACCTTACTAATTTGGTGTGTCGGGTTGTGGCGGGTTTAACGACACATTTATATTTACGCGATCTAACCCCAAAAAAACCTGTATTATGGATATTGGTCGCGAAAGCCTACATGTTAAACTGTTACACACTGTAAATGAATCTCGCAATATTCAACATAACCAATGTTGTACTGCCACCTCCTGGCCAGTAGCAGTATGCTGCAGCAATACGTCTCAGAAATGTATCACGAGAGAAACTAACTCTTGATTGTTTTTTGTACTAAACCCAAGTTGCACACATGCAGTTAGATACCAGAGTAAAGATCAACACAAATTATTCTCATTTCAAAGACTGAGTAGATTCTGTAGTCTCTACTGGCTTCCCATTGCCTTCGGCATCAGCGATACAAGAGCGCCTGGCCTGTCCCAGCGTTGCCTCTGCTTTTGATTGTCCAACGTATTTCTCTTCGCTCTCCTGTCACCATGCACTACAACTCATGGTAGAGATATCGCGCTGTACGACGAGCACCTCCTCTCTTTACCAAGGAGCAGGAGCGCCACCGGCAGGCGTCGTTTCTCTGTGGTACCCCCCCGCAATCTAGAACGCCATCCCGCTGCACCACCGCAGCATTCAATCTACACCAACCTTTAAGAGATTCTTAAAGGCCTCGGATATTTCGCCTGGATTTTGTGTGACACCAAGCTTGGCTCAGCACCTCAAAATTACGGCCATTTATTTACGTGAAAATTGTCCGCGTTACAAATTGCATTCTGATACGATATATATTAAAACAAAAAGTTTTGCTGGCTGACTGGTTTTCTGGCTGCCGCCCAGGCGGGGAAGTGCACAGTGGTGACATCACCGCGCACACCTGCGTAATGACATCCCACAGTGTTGCGCCAGATTTGTAGGTGCTGACGTGACGCCTTCCCTCCATCCACCCTTCACCCCGGCCATATATCCCGCGCATATACGCGGGTAGTGGTAGTTATTATGAATTAAAATGTCACAAAAAAGTGTATGGAAAGGACGCTTCATGGACTGAAGGCATAGGATTATGACCAATGTTTGTATGTGTGTGGATGAGCTGTGCATCAATACCTGGCACTCACGATGTTTCCCGCATTTAGCTCCACCATCTCTTGGAACCCGATTGCAAACACATCTACAGGAGTGTCATCTGCTGCACACAAGCAATTTTACGCAAGTTTCCATTAGTTACTCTGCATCACTATCAACCATTCACAATTTCACTATGCTTCCTCCTTTGACACCGCACATAACTTTTCCCCCTCAGCCCCCTTACGATTTAAAGGAAAAATAAGACAAAACACTATAAGTTAAAAATGTTATACTTCGGCACCAACGACACTTCCAATGCACATATTTTTTTGTATAAAGATGTTTATTGTTGGAAATGCACCCTATTCTAGAAAATGTGAATTAAGAAAATCTCCCCTCCAAAAAATGTAACCCATGGTCTGGGGGAAAAAATAAAAGTGCGTGCAGGTGAGTCAGTACCTTGAAACTGAGAGATGGCAGCTTGCTTGTGGTTGTCCAGCAGCCAGTCTGACAGCGTCTGGTGCTTGAAGGCAATGCTGCGCGTGGTTTTTCCCCCGTTCACGTTCCAAGTGGCGATAGCCACGCGCAGCCGTTTTGGGTGCGTGTACTCTCCATGACGCTCGCACAACGAGCGCAGCAAGCGGGCAGACGCTGCGGTCAAATTCACAACGACGACAATCAAACAGTTATTTTTTCGTTGACGATTAGTTAAAAGTAGTACGATACGCTACCAGACAGAAAATACATAGTGTGTGAAAATAAACATATATGATACCTGTCTGCAGGAAGTTTTCAGCCCCTGCATGGACATGGAAGGCAGAATAGACAGTAGGTTAACAAACATGAGGTGAATTTACATGGATAGACACATGAGTAGTCAATTGTGAAACCTCGTGCTCATGTTCATTATTAATAATTGGTTAATATACAGTGAGGGAAAAAAAGTAATTGATCCCCTGCTGATATTGTACGTTTGCCCACTGACAAAGAAATGATCAGTCTATATTTTAATGGTAGGTTTATTTGAACAGTGAGAGACAGAATAACAACAAAATTCAGAAAAAACGCATGTCAAAAATGTTATAAATTGATTCGCATTTTAATGAGGGAAATAAGCATTTGACCCCCTCTCAATCAGAAAGATTTCTGGCTCCCAGGTGTCTTTTATACAGGTAACGAGGTAAGATTAGGAGCACACTCTTAAAGGGAGTGCTCCTAATCTCAGCTTCAATCCAATATATACATCTCACTGCTGATCTGTCCACTACCAGCTTCAAAAGTGGTATTCAAAGAAAGCCTGGGATGCGATATCGGAAACAATGTCCAGACCACTCACCACATAGAGAACCACTATGAACTCTTAAACTTCAAGAGGCATTAAAGCAATTTCCCGCACATCAAGTGAAGCAATTGCCTGGCTAATTCATATGGACATAGTGACTATGCATCCATCTGCATGCAAGAAGTAGCGTCTATTGACGATTGTGCATTTAGGCGCTAGACAGAATCATGCTGCATCGCACTGCAGCCACTGAGCCGTACCACGCGTGGTGGGCGAGATCAGCGTGCGGGCCTTGTCAGCCGCCTCACTGTTGAGCGCACATCCCAGAAGGAGCAGATCCATGGCCTCCTGCTTGGCGCCATCGAAGAAGTTATTCTGGATGGTGCGCGTCACGGAACGTGCGCCGTCCTTCAGCTGCCAAAATTCCCCGTGGAGGCCTGTGAATGGCACCGGCGCCTGCATTTACCACGCACCTTTCGGCTTCCCACCTTGCATACATTGGAGTCGGCAACAAAGTGCAGTTTGGGGATACGTATTCAACTACTTCAGTGGATGTTGGATTCTCACCATTTAGATGTTCAACGATGGCAGAGGGGACATGAAAAGAAAAAACGCAGCACCGTCAATACACGTCGCCGCAGGAAGGTACACAACACACAAGAAGGTAGTTTATGCAAACACGATTGTATGCACAGTAAATAAAACATCCAAGTCTGTAAAACGATTGGGAAAACATTTAAAAATCAGAGTACACAACATAAAAAACACATTTCTGCGGAGGGAGCTGGTAGGAACGTTGGGTTGCTCGGTCAATGGCCAGGGTCAACGGCGGCACCACGTGGTGTATTCCGCAAATATGCCCGACTGTGAGGGCGGGCACAAGCCGACGTGAGTAGGTTAAACGTTGAGTTTTATAAGGGCACCACGGGGTGACCAGCCCCTCCCCACCCAGCCCCACCCCTCCCACCCCCCACCCAGCCCCACCCTCCCCACCCAGCCCCTCCCCACCAAGCCCCTCCCCACCCTCCCCACCCAGGAGACGGAGACGTTGTCGTAGAGGCAACACGGTTTATTGTTAAATAACAGATAACTCCCTTAACATCTCCTATCTAGGGAGGTACAGTCTCCGGGCTCACGTGACTCACACTAGCCAACTCAACTCTCAGCCCTCCGGCTATCAGTGCCCTAGGGGAGGCTATCTGATCCGACCCAGCCAAGGTACGGGTCTCCACCACTGGTCCAAGCTCGACCCGGCCCTTAGAAGGACGTCGGGTTCGAGGTCCCAGGGTCCTGACTAGGGAGGCTATCCCGACCCCATCCAGCCAAGGTACGGGTCCGACCACTGGTCCAAGCTCGACCCGGCCTTTACAAGGGCAGCGGGCTCGAGGTCCTAGTCTAGCTGGCCTTCAGTCTTCGGTCTTCGTAGCACTGCCTCGAGCTGTGCTTGGGGTGCCCCTTTTATACACCTCCAGGGGATACCTCCGCCCCTGGTACCGCCCCCTTTCTGGAACCTTCCAGAGGATCCTGGAAGGGCCCCCTCCCAGCCCCCCACCTGGGATAGGGGAGGGGAACCCAGCCTCCCTTGGATCCGGCTCCCTCTCTATACCCTTGTTCAGGCTAGCACACCCTTCCGACCTCTGGCTGCAACTGCAGGTAAGTGGATACCAGCGGTGCGTGCATCCGCAATTCCGACGCTACACATGTACCTTGGTTTTTCCCTCGAGTGCGCCAGTGCCGGCATACATTTTGCTGACCAGGTCTCCGACTGCAGACCAGAGGGCACGGAACACCTCGTCAAAACGAGCAACCATCTGGGGTTTCTCAGCCAGGCCCAGGTCCTCGAGCTGCCTCTTCAGCATCTGCAGAACCCACAAATATGGCACTTTACATGAAGTGATTATTAAATAATGCTCATGAATGCATTAAAGACACATGTCAACTAAACAAAAGAGTGGGTGTTCGGGAGTTCTTACATCAACGGCAAAATGGGTCTGCACAGAGTTTGTCCGATCCAGGCAGTCCAAGCAATTTGTTCTCACGGTCCCTTTTTGGACTCTGGAAAAGAAAAGTTAAAATGTGCAACTTTCACATGAAAAGGTTCAACAAAACGGAACTCATCGACTTTTATAGGGCACAGTCCCATATCCTACCTGCTCACAACACCTTCATGGAAGCAGTAGAAGCCGCATTGCTCCAGAAAGGGGCGCACCTTGTTTCCCAACCCAGATTGGAGTCTCTCGGACCGCTGGCTGCTGCCCTTGAGTAGCAGGTGGTAGTCAAAGTTGAGCATGGGGATGTCGCTGGCATGGCGAGATGCCTGCATGTGGCTCTGCACACCGTAAACAAAGCAGCGGCTCTTTAATTAGTTCATGGCAGGTACAGGACAGGTTGAGATACAATTTCCCACTGATGTTAGCAATGACAAGGTATTTGAAAGCAGGCGGCCGAATTTATCGCACAGCACACGGACCACTGCACAACTACTCCCCACCTACACGAGCACACGAACTCATACATACATGTATATCTATGGCGAAATTATGATGGGTACCTGAAAAGCCTTGCTTAGCATGTGCTCTCCCTCTTTGCTCCCTAGAAGGTTAACCACCATCTGCTTGCCATATAGCTCCTTCAGCATTGCAAAATGTCTGTGGCAAATGCCAACACAAAAAATAACAGATTAATAAATCATATGGACAATACTTAAGTCATTGTATGTTATGATTCTCAGTTCTGCCTCCTTCCAACGTCCTATTTGTGGTAAGCTACGGTATTAATATTTGTAGATATAAAGTATATATAACGGTATAATACAAAACAGCTCTCTCAATAGCACTCAAAGTATATATTTGTAAGTATTGTTTACGATAGCATTAACCTTTGTAGTTTGAAAGATATTCACCAATGCACTACTTTGTGTTTTTTACAAAATGTTTAGTATTTGTACGACTTGAAAACTATGTGAAATATTTGAGACCAAAGTGCTGAAAAAGCCAGTAACTGCCCATGACCAAGACCAATGACTGAATGAATAAAGCTGCCAACAATGCTTGTGATAAATAATAACTTCGTAAACGTGACAATCTTGTCGTGGGTGGTGGAGGGTTAATCATAGGAATTTTGGCTACCAAGTGGTCGAATGTAAAAAGCAAATATGGATCAATGCCTGTGATGCTAACATATTAACCAAAAGCCATCATTGAAAATTATACATTTTTGAAGATAATTGCAACACAAAAAAACTAGGGTTCTACTAACCTGTCCAAAGCTGGGGCATTTGCTTCGTAACCCCGTGACATTTTGACACGATGTGATCCCACCTAATGAAGCACACATATTGCATTACAAACTGTGTTAAGGATAGCAAACGATTTGTTAAAAATGTATAGAAAAGTAATATTTAAAAAAACTTTTTTTTTTAAACACGCTTTAATGAAATGTACCGTACGAGTAATGGCAGAATTCCACGACTCCAGGAAGTAGCCCCGAAGCTTGCCATAGCGTAAGGTACCGTGGTCAATTACAGCCAACGTCAGTTGAGCGTGGACAATTAGACCCAAGCCGAAACATAACATATAAAAAAGATTGTTTAAAAATATATATGTTTTTATTTTTAATGATAGAATATAGTATTGTCATCAGTATGACATAAGTATACCAAGTTTTCAGTCGATACCACATTGGGAAGTGGGTTAAAATTGAGTTACAAGATTTGAGGATACAACGACGACAACAGACAGAGTGAGTTAAATAAAAGCGTGTAATAAATAGCAATCAGTTACCTGTAGCCCTGGCTGCTCCCAAAATAGAGGCACCGACCCACGGAGTTGGACAAAGGAAGTCACCTCATCGTCTATAAAAATTATCTGAAAAAGATTGCAAAAAAACTCATCCTTTTACATTCTCAAAATTATATACACTTTCATCGTGAGTTATCTATTATATCGTAACCTTAGTCATCATCATGTTTCACTTACTGCCGTATTGCTTAAGACATTTTTACATACAAAACAAGGGGCCCTGTTCACATATTAAAAAAAACTGTCAGAATTGTCATAAAACTCACCTGCTCAGTTTCGCAGAAGTTGGCAACCTGCCCGGAGTCATCAGCACCCCTTACATTGAAGCGTGTGCCAGCACGGGCACAACTCACCCGCGCCAGCACGCACACCTTGGCCTGCTGGTGCGCAGCGTACAGCGTGCGCACACCCACGCCGCCGCACATGATTCGTAGAAGCCATGCCCCACAGTCCACGCCACACTGCCGCAACGGCACGTGCAGCGCCGCGTTCCTGCCGAGAATATCGGGTCAGCGACACGTGCCGAGGCTACTTTCATTATACGGCCATGATACATGGGCAAGACATACAGGATAATGTCCAAAAAATTTAAATCAGTCAAACTGTGTTGAGGCATTCAGCGGCCTCTGTGTCTGCAGTGTTCAGCGTGGGAAGAGCTCCCCTGTGTAAAGCATGATTTAAGACAATATTAAATGTGTAATATAATTTAGTCAATGTTCATTGTAAAGTATTGTAGGGTGCTTATAAAGATTTAAATTCAACAATGCACTGTGGTGAATCCCTTTCACTCAGGCGTTTTGCTGCTAGAAATGTGTTTGCATGTTTTTTATTGTTTAGGTGAGGTTTAACTGTTATGCTTTGTTGAATTGTTGAAATGTTCTATTGTGCCATTCGTATACCCCCATCCCTTGGGGCTCACCCTTGAAAACCAGCTTGCTAGCTGAAAGGGCCTTCCTCCAGTATACAAAAAAGAAACAATATTTACCCAACAACCAGAAACACAGGTTTGTTTATAAGTAATGGTAACAGTGGATATAGGCCATGGAATCTATTTCAGGCAGAGAGAATACAGCAACACTTTGGCAGCTATATCAATTCTACTGGTGATGTCATAAGACACATTTCCAGTTTTCAGTCACTGCTAGTTTGAATAATTAACTTCTGGTTCATAGTTCATAGTTCATTTATTTGGTATAGCCCTGTGAGCCATTCGGCTCTTGAATCGGGTGCAACCGCAACAAACAAAAACATGAACAAGAAAACATCTTAAAGTGATTATGTGACTGTGCAAACAGAAAATACAGGAAAAAATATCAAAATATTCCTGAAATAGCACCATACACCAACGCTGTGTGCAAAAATCCCAGTGGGATGGAAGACAAATAACAACAACAACCACAAGACAACTAAGATTAAGGCCATCAGTCTAACTCCATACTACAATAAACAAAAACATGGCCAAAACAAAAAAAAACTTTTCGAAATCACCAAAATAAAAGCCATAAATCCAATGTAACAGTGATCATAGGGACTGTGACCGAATTTTTTAACAATAAACTACAAAAATAAATTATAACACCAAAATCTAGAGCCATATTTTAGGCCACTGAACAGCAGTGGCAGCTAGGGTTGTCCAACTCCTCTAGAGCAGTTTTGAGTGAAGATCTCATAGGTAGTGATTCAAGTTGCAGTTTATTGGCAATAGCATTCCAGACCCTGGGGGCATCAATAGCAAAGGCCCTTCCTCCAGTTTTTGTACGGCAATAGGGAATGTGAAGCTGGTAAATGAGCGAAGACCTGAGGTCAAATTTGTTCTTTTGAATAATTAAATGAAACTTGGTATAAAGCATAATATATGGTTCAATTATACAGTTCTCTCCATGTGGGTTAATTTTACCGACTAGAGGATAATGTAATTCCGACTTCAATGACAATGTAAACATTAGTAGTTTAAACATAAATGCAGCAATGCCTTTGAGCAAGATGCTTATATTATAAAACTCATAACAGAGAAGATGGACATGGACAGATTGCTCTGAAGTCAAGGAACTGAGGTGCAACCACTTAGTTTGGCAAATTCCAACTCGGAGTTAAATAATTAAAATTTCATAAATCTACCCGAGCAAGTATTAAAATGCTGCGTTCTAGTGTTCATAATCATTGTACAGTATGTGCCCTGAAGATGGGCCATCACACAAAAGGTTGCCGATGATATAAATATCCTTATAAGGCAGTATTGTTGATGTGTTGAGTTGTTTTGTCCTGCGATATCTCCTTCTGCAACCATTCCATACAAGTGATAATGCACTTCCCTGTAAGAGTCACGAATTAATTATATTATTTGTCTCACGACATAACACCAATAGCACAAACAAGATACAATCTGTGGGGGGGGGGGGGGGAGGAAACCCTGTCACAGTAAAGAATTGAAAATGTACACAACAAAACTTAATGAGCAGGCGCACCAGCAGAATGGGTTATGTTGCGCCGGGTCGCCCTGGCCTTGCAACTGAGCCCTGATGCTCAGGTCGTAAGTGTTGCCTACGCCGCCGCTGCTGGAGAAGTAGAAGGTGCCAGTGGAAAGCAGGCGCCGCAGGTCTGCAACACGGTCCTCGTCCGACGGGTCTCCTTGCAGGCTCACCATCTCGACGCTCGTGATACGCATCACCTCCGAGTCAACAATGCGGCCCACTGATGCGCAGCCCGTCACCAGCACCAGGTAGCGCAGAATCACCTCGCCTTTACCATCTCCAGTAATGAGAAAAAATTTGAGATTTGTTTTAACAAGCTTCAAGAGAATTCAAAAGCTAAAGATGTCCAATGTCTCCATCCAGCAGTGAATTTAAAAAGGCACTGTAAATGTTAATGGTGTAATTAGATTACCATTAGTATTCAAATTCCAAAAGTACATGTGTTTAGGGAATTATAGTTGGCTCAACCTCTTAGAAATAACACTGAAACAGCATACAAATAACGCCTCACCTAAGATATTCTTCGCTTAAACTCCTAAAATAGATCACTGCTCAAGATACTGTAGATTAATCAATTTGAGCATGCGAAGACCTATTCGTTGCAACTTAAGCAAATGATATGTTCAACATTACATTTAGGATATTAAAGCAGACAAAACTGTACATATGAGAATATAAATTAGAGGGTAAAATATAATAAGATAGTTGAATCAAATTATAATCCCTAGTTGTGATAATGAATTTACTTTACGGTGGGAAAATCGTTCCATGCCTGCCTGCCTACGAGACAATTTTTTTCTGAAATCATTACAGTGATTTCATTTCAAGTGACATAACCAAGCATGCACAGATGGCTTTATGGGTGAAACGGTGCAAGAATATCTACTTGACAGTTTCGATTTTATGAGTTTATTTTTTGTGGCATTGCGACAAAAACTGCATTACCCATGTTGAGGCGCAGCATGCCAAGACATCCATATGCATCCATAAGGCGGTTGTACTGTCCTTTCACCGCCTCTTTTTCAGCAGCAGCTACAAAAACAAGCAAACCAGTTAGACAAATACACGTGTACATTTGATTCATGGCTTGAGTGAGACCAATCAAAATGCCCTCAATTATAAGCGTAACACAAGCAGAACAAAACTAAAATGACACCACAAATACATACACAGCACTGCGATGGCTCCAGATTCAAAAAGAAGGCATTCTTCACGGTTCCGGTTTTCCAAAATCACACTGTAGAGGTTCTGTTCACTCTTTTGGAGCACTCGAAATCCTTTACTCAACGCCATTTTCCCCTTTCTTATATTTGTCAATAATAATTCAGAAGACAGTCTCCCAAGTTGGCCTGTAGAGAAAACAGAAAACAACAAAGTCACCATCAATATGTAAATATACTCTGACACAGGTTCCAGATTTGTGAAATCTGTTCAATTAATACATAAAATACAGCTGTGACAATAGAAGAGCACACGCAGATATTAGTTCGGTGTATAAGATACTACGTAACTTTAATACGCTATGATACATTGCCTTCAAACGCTTCCATAAGCTATGCGGCATTGGCTTTGCCACTGAACCAGTTTACTTAACAAAATAATCAGCATACATCGAGTTATCAGTTCGATTCTTGTTGCTTTCCTTGAATCTATACGGGGAAATTGCTAAATAATCCATAAAATTCATATCGTTAATTTAGTATCTGCGCCAGTTTTATAACAGAAGGCTATCATGAACGCACTACGTTTTACAGAGTTTAATAATGTAACTTTACAAATTTGGACCATGATGTCAGCACACGTTTGCCTACTCAAAACGTAGGTTTCCATAGCTAATGCAGTGATCCACATTTGTGTTTGGGTTAGGCCACATCACATTTTTATGCCACAATTCTTGCCATTAACCCTCCACCACTCAACAAAATTGTAACGTTTACAGAGATAGTATTTATGTGTCAAGGTATTGGTCAAATTCTGACAAATAAAGCACCTGTAAAGCGGATTCTGTGTATTTTATTATTAATATTCCAGCACTAATCACCAGGGCGGGCTGCCAGATACTAACGAGGAACCTCTGCACCAAGTGGACAACAGGCTACTGCTGAGCCATGTCACTGTCGAAAGTGGTCTCTTCGTGACAAAATGGATATCAACATTAAATTGTATTGGCAAGAGTGAACCACAGCGCACATTTAAACTAACACATTATTTAAATGTAACCACATTCAGTCCCAGTCCAAAGGCCGGTGCTCGCATGGTTAAAGGACATCAATTACGCATACTGTACATTGTACATTCCATTTTAGCCACTCAAGAACCCAAGAGGTTTATTTTTGTAATCCAACAGCTGCTTCTACCGAAATACCTACATGGCCACGTTGCACGCAATACATTTACAGAATAAATTATGAAAGCATCTAAATGCAAAATAATTTCAAGGCACTCGAAGGCGTTAGGGGACCCAAACAGTGGACAGGCGGGTGGATGAGGATACTACGTGGGTGAGTATGAAGATACATTGGATAACTAACAAGATGAACAGAAAGGTGCAGTGCAGATGTGTTGAAAATACGCCACTACACTAGTACTAATGTTTTACGCATTATATTGCAAAGTTTCATGAACGCTTGTGTAGTTTTGTGACCCTCAAGTGCACGATTAATAACGGAATGACATGAATTAGTAATTCGACCACCCAGGGTTGCAACGCAGTGAGAACGCACGACACAATCTCAAGGTTGCGATTTAAATTCCGTCAGGGGCGACCGAGCCCTTCATCCACATGGGCTCAATAAAATTAGTAGCCACTTTGTGAACAAGTCACCTCTCGTAATCTATACCGACTCAACCCCGCCATATGAATGTGGATTCTCCAACACTGTCTTAAGACAGATGAGAAGCTTCCCACGCTCATTCGAGCAAGAAATTACTCTGTATCTTCTTCTAGTGATGTGTTATACTCACATTTATATTTGATTGTGCCAACGGTGTTTTGTTACATTATGAAGAACTGATCATTCCAACAGCTCACTTCGAGCAGTGAAACCACGCCGTGCTAGAGAACGGCCAGGGAGGATTACATCACTTTACTTCTAAGGTCTGCACTAAGGGGCCATCCATTGAGTAGGTACGCATAAAATCTGTCAAAACTTGACCCCTCCCTGTACGCACGCGGACTTTTTACACCCCCCCCCCCCCCACCTGCGTACGTTCGCCTGACACCCCCCCCCCCCCCCCCCGAATCCTATAGAACGGTCGATATTTAATCCACGCAGAAACGATCGAGGATTAATAATATTCACGTGTTTAAGCAGACAGACTGCATTAAAGAATCAAGTCGCGTACCCTGGCCACTGATTTTGCTGAGCTGCGTGATTGCTCGCAGTCAAGGCGGGCAAGGTGGCACGCGAGTGACACCTCTTCCACAGTCTCACTTCTCCCGGCAGTAACTTGTTGTCTGAACAGCTGAAGAAACTGAACTGTGGCTCATTTGAAGGCCAATGTAGACAAATTATTATCGAGGCTTCACCCCAGCCTCCCGTTTCATATTCGTACGTACATTGTCAGTAGACCCCCCCCCCGCCATACGCAAGCGTACGCATTTGGGTTAACACCTCCCCCTTCCATGCGTACGTGCTAAATGAATTTTATTAATTACATTTTATTAATTACTGGCAAAAAGTCGTACTCAGATTGTAAATGTTGTGGATTTGCTCTCCAACACACCGGTGTTCCTGTACTAGTAACGAATTGGCACGTTCTGTTTACGTGACAAACCTTACTAATTGGGTGTCGGGTGGTGGCGGGTTTAACGACACATTTATATTTACGCGACCTAACCCAAAGAACTGCATTATGGAGGACATTTTATTCTCTATGCAATACGCCTTTATTACATTAAACTGAACTGTAATGCTCAGACCTATAAAACGCTTAATCATGTTCATAACCTATTTATTTTACTGGTTACGGGGCTGAGACCATGATCAACTCGCGACGCTTGAAACTACAATTCTAACCCAGAACCCCGGAGGATGCTTGCTATAAGTGTCTGCCAACAATTGACGTTACAATGTCTTACGACTGTTGTGATCTGTGGCGCAATGGTTAGCGCACGCCAATTCTGAAGTCGCTATGCGCAACGGCCAGAGATGGGATGTTTGCCAATTTTATTTAAATAAGGAGTGTTTATATGTCAAAGGAAACCTACATAACCAAACAAAAACGCACCAAGCAACGGTCCACGCAGACAAGTTCAAGGGCCCACTTGCTGTACTGCCATCTGCCGACCACCTTTGACTTTGAACGATGTCGAGAATGACCACCGCACTCAGCTCGTGCGGCCTACCTACCTCTGCCGACACCGGCGCATCGACACGGGCAGCTTAACTAGCCGATGGACGGTCACACCGAAGCCCCTTCAGGTTATTAACAGTGAGCAATAACAAGCGTTAATAGCGAGAAATCCCAACGAATCACTTCAGGTACTTCTACGTGTTTAATCACTAGTATTATATATTTAAAAAAAAACATCACAAAAATGTAATCAAATCCACTAGCGCAGCTCCACCAATGGCATTGCACAGTTGCGACATCGCAATGCAAAACGAACGGGGAGATGCCTCTGTCGTTACCACGGTGTGCCCGTGGACACTTTGACCGTAAAAAAATGTGGAGATTATCGTTTAATAATATCGAGAGGAATGTATTTATTAAATACATCGTAAACGTTTTACCGCGAGGACCGATGATCGCGCTCACATCACTGACGCTGCGCCCCGTGCTCAGCTCGACCGCATCCGCCTCCAAAATCCCTAGCGCGGATTAGCGCGAGGGCCATCGATCTGCGACTGCGATTGGACGACACCGCGCACGTGGGTCGGCAACGTCCGCGCACCATTGGCTGAGGGGTATCTCCATGGCCAATGGCCCCTAGCAACGGCTAAAGCGGAGTGGGAAATATGGCCGCGCGGGTTTTTCCGCATAGCGGATATTGCAATTTTTGTCGGCTGCCGTGGAATTTAATAACGAATAATATTTATTTATTTAAAACAAAATATCAGTCTGCCGTGTCCCTACATCTATCAGTCTTTGTTTGAAACGTGCGCGCGTTTTTTTTTCATTATACATATTGACACATTTTTTTTCCGTATACAGGGCAACGTTGAATGCTATTTAACGTGAGAAAATGTGTCGGTTTGTAAATGCGAACGTTGCCCGATTAATAACAGGCGACTTAAAAAAAAAACAAGAGCGTTACAAATAATGTTGTTATTTCTCCCCTCCCCCCCCCCCGCCGTTAAATTCCACAGTGACCAATCCTTAAAACCGACACTACGGCTTTGTGGCGATGCCTTCATCCAGCAGTGGATTGATCATAGCTGCTGGTGATCAATATTGACATTGTGTTGCTGTTGTTGACAGAACTCATCCGCCCTGAAGTTTCACGTCTCGCGAGTGAGAAGAATCACAGTTACAATTCTCCGTCCCCTCCACTGGTCTCGTCCTGCAAATAATACATACATACACACCATTAATACTGTGTAGGAACCTCCTGGTTACACCACCAGCCCACAGGGGATTATTGTGTCCGTCCGTCGTGCATCCAAACATGGGTGGGGTGGGGCTGGGAGGGTGGGGAGGGGAGGGTGGGGAGGGGCTGGGTGGGGAGGGTGGGGAGGGGCTGGGTGGGGAGGGTGGGGCTGAGTGGGGGTGGGAGGGGTAGGGCTGGGTGGGGAGGGGCTGGATGGGGAGGGGAGGGTGGGGAGGGGCTGGGTGGGGAGGGGCTGGTCACCCCGTGGTGCCCTTATAAAACTCAACGTTTAACCTACTCACGCCGGCTTGTGCCCACCCTCACAGTCGGGCATATTGTGCGGAATACACCACGTGGTGCCGCCGTTGACCCTGGCCATTGACCGAGCAACCCAACGTTCCTACCAGCTCCCTCCGCAGGAATGTGTTCATTTGTGCATTAAATTATATAAAGCCAGCTCTTGGAAACTAAGCAGGGTGTAGACTGGGTAGTTGTTAGATGAGTGGCTACGATGCAAAACAGGTGTTATAGGCTGCGGACTTACCTTGTCAGCAAAGGGCAGAGCGGCAAATCCAATGTCCAGCGTGGTCCAGCAAGGACCTGGCGCAGCTGGCCCAAGTGTTCCTGAAATGTGCGGCCGAAAATGATAACGTCGTCTAAATAGATAAGACAGGCGTCTCGCTGTAACCCTGCCAGCACCAACTCCATTAACCGCTGGACCGTGGCTGGGGCAGTCATCAATCCCATCGGGAGGTAGTTAAAATTGAAAAGGCCCTGCGGCGCTCTGAACGCCGTTTTCGGTTTGGATTCCACATCCAGTGGAAGCTGCCATAATCTCCCTCTAACACGTCCAGCGTGGAGAAAAAAATTGCTTCCGCGAGTGCGTCTAACGAATCGTCAATGTGCGGGATTGGGTAAGCGTCAGCTAAGGTGACCTTGTTCAGGCGTCTGAAGTCGACGCAAAAACGTAGGGACCTTTGCTAAACACATCAGCGAAATCGTACAGCAACGCCCGGAGCTCCCTTGCCTCCTTTTCTGACAGATCAGCGTTCTGCTCTAGGAGCTCATCTACCCAGGACGCATCTTCAACTCCGGCTGACAGCTCACCCACCAGCGTGCTATTCACACCTCACGCCTCAGGCCACGCGAACATAGGGCTGACATGCGCGAACAACGTCCCTTCCTGTACCGTCATGGGTTGGTGAAATTACGTAATCAACCAGACCATGCGTTAATTGTGTTTTGACCGACCGTCTGTGTTGCTTTATATAGTTTCCAAATTTTGCTAAACCCTGTTTGATTTAGTGTGCTCCTCCGTCTCTCTCTGTACCCCCTGGTGTATCTGTGTTAATTCCCTTTACTTAGGTGTCTGTATATATCTGCGGTTATGTGTTTCCTCTCTCTCTTAAATTTAGCTCTTCTGTACCTGATGATGATTGCTTGTGTTTCAATCGAAACGTCGTATGCTATTATGTAATTTTATTATTTCTTATTTCTATGTGACTTTACCGAAAAAAACAAAGAGTAATTCCTGCAGTCACGAAAGCGCCAAATCAAGTTTGAACCACCTCTACGGGGAGGTATTAAGTCTGTGTCTTTGTGTTGTCTCTGCTGGTGTGTCTACCTTTGTGTCTTGACCTGGGTTTGTGTCACTGTGCTGTCTCTGCCTGTGTGTGTGCCTTGGTGTCTCCGAGTGTGTGCTGCGACTTCCTCCGCAGCCCCTATGTGCTTGACAACCTGTATCCCCCCCCCCCCGCGCCGTCCTTTGATGTGTGCTTTCTTCATGCTAATTTGTATCCCATTGTCTCTCAGTCCCAGCCCTGCCGTCTCTGTCTATTTAAGGCCTCGGCACAGAGAGGCTGCTTCACTGTGTGCGCGTCTCTCCCCATATGTCTCTGTGCTAACTTGTTCTGCTTAGATGTCTATATATGTGTATGCGGTCTGTATTCATCACTCTCTTAAATTTCACACTTAACTTACAATTGAGCAATCTTTGAAATTACGTAATCAACCAGACCATGCGTTAATTGCGTTTTGACCGACCGTCTGTGTTGCTTTATATAGTTTCCAAATTTTGCTAAACCCTGTTTGATTTAGTGTGCTCCTCCGTCTCTCTCTGTACCCCCTGGTGTATCTGTGTTAATTCCCTCTACTTAGGTGTCTGTATATATCTGCGGTTATGTGTTTCCTCTCTCTCTTAAATTTAGCTCTTCTGTACCTGATGATGATTGCTTGTGCTGCAATCGAAACGTCGTATGCTATTATGTAATTTTATTATTTCTTATTTCTACATGACTTTACCGAAAAAACCAAAGAGTAATACCTGCAGTCACGATAGCGCCAAATCAAGGTCGAATATGCACAGGGATATGATGGTAGCTGACGTACCCGTGTCAACCAGCACGCGCACGCTAACCCCCGCAATCCAGCCTACATTCCAGCCGTGGCTGCCACTACCCTCCTGGTTAACCGACACCACTTCATGTCCATGTCCGGCCATAGGACTGAAGCGACTACAGGAACAAGCGATGCGCCCTCCGTCCCCTGAGATGCGTGAAGGGGTGAGCATGAGGGGGGGTGATTCAGGCCGGGTGTCCGAGATGATTGTACTCGCCTGAGGAGGAGTGGCCGCTGGGAAGACCTGACGGTCTTGGCTGGTCATCCCTGTCGCCACCGTCCTGCTGTGGCAGCCATGGGTGATGTGCCCCTCACGACCACAGTGATGGCAGATGACTTCGTCCCCGCGCGCGAGCGTCGCCCCCGCCTCCCTAGGTGCCCAACGTCAGCGTTGTTGCTCGGCCCCCAGGGGCATCCTCGTAGGTCATTGCAAGGCCGCCACCACTTCTCCTTCCTGAACTTCTATCGGCTGCACGTGCCCCGCAGTTGCTCCCAGTTTCTTGGCCGCTCGGGATCCCGTGACGTCGTCAACTTGCCGGTTGACCGGTGCCACAACTCGTGCGGGTGCCGTCATTTCTGCATGCGCACAGAGGTGTCGTGCGACCCAGAGGGAGGTACGGGCCTCTTCCTCCACCACCGGCAGTATCACCCCTGCCTTCTATGCCATGGCGAGTAGATGCTCCACCACCAGCGAGTCCAGGGCCGCCTCGTCGAGCTGTGGAAACGCCGCTTTCGCCAGGAGCCAGAAAACCACCACCTGCATGGCTCTCTCAGGGTCTTTGAGGCACACAAGCCTCACCAACATAACAAGGTCACAGCAAGAAGGTGCGGGCATAAGATGGTATCACCAGAGTATATAAGTATCGTCGAGGACTGGTCTTTCTGACGTAGATGGTATCATCCATTCATGATCTACCTGTTTGTTTAGCTGTTTCCTTTGTATGGCTGATGTAGATGCAGAGCAACAACTATGCTTGTGTTGTTGCTCTGGGGACCGGGAGATTGAAGCTCAATGTTTGGTCGCCGCATTCGTTATCATTGGTCATGGTTTCTCACTTAACACCTTATACTTGCTGTTTGTTTGGCTATGTTGCAAGAATGGATAATGACACTTTTACACAGTATGCAGGTGAAGAGCGCATCTTCACTGTCTCCATCATGGCACATCTCCAGTCACCCATTCCAGAGACTCGTGAGTTCGACAGATCTTGAATAACATTGGCCAAACCTACAAATGCGTAGGCCGTCATCACCCATGCATTTGCAGGATACTTAGGGCAGATGTGATGAGCACGGTAGCGATAAACTGGAAGAGGAAAGCAACACATAGCTGACAGCAGACCCTTACAGCTCTCCCATCTGAGGACGAGACGCTGACCCCATAACGTGCTGGAGGAAAGGCCTTACAGGGGACACGATTAGAGGAGGGAGAAAAGAGCCAAGAGTCGTGGGCAGAGAGGGAGGGAGATATCTGTGTAAGGGGAGGTGGTGAAGATAAATAAAAATGGTTGAGACTTACCTGTCTCCCTCGTGGATGTCATTACATCTGGTGGCAGTGGTGGGACCAGAAGATGTCCCACATCAGCAGGAAGAAACCCCCCAGGGAAGCAGGGCAGTAACCAACCTCTACTCCCAGCCTGCAATAACAAGCCGCCCGGGCGTCGGAACGAGGTCACACGCCGACCAGGGCCATGCCAAGGAGCCACAGAGACTTGCCTGTGTCCCTTGTGGATTTCATTACACATTTATGATGGTGGTGGACATTGGTGGGGTGATTTTTAAATCTTGCC